AAATAATATAAATAAAAGAAAAAGAAATAATAAAAGAATTTATAATAAATTAAAGAGGAATGGTTTGTTGTCATTTTTAATATTTTTCTTCTAAGAAAATTCATAAAATTAAAGGAAGAGCCAATTAAGTAAATGAAATTCTGATGAGAGAGAGTTTTGACGAATAATTTTTCATGAGAGTGGAATAAAAATAAACAAAAAGAAGTAAAAGAAAAAGTATTTATAGAAATATATAACTGAAATTTTTTTACTTAAATCCATTCGATACAAAAACTGGTACGAACTAAGAATTTTAATTAATTAATAACATTTAATATGACAGTTGAAGAAGCTATTCAAATAAAACTTTCTGATTTAATAATTGAAAGATTAGAAGGGAATGAATTACAACTTGCAAAAATTTTATATTCATTACTTCATTCAGAAGAAGAAGAAGAAGTATTTAAAGGGGTATGTGCACTTATAGATGGATGTGAAAATATAGGATTTAAAAGATTTATATTAAAAATTAAACCAACATTATATTCATTTATATTAATTAAAAACTTTGAAACTAGATATGAAATTCTTGGTGGATTATTAGCATTTATTAGAACAATGGATAGAGAAGTTGATGGATATGTTGATTTTTGTATTAAAAATGATAAATATTTTGTTCCATTCTTACAAGAAGCTTTAATTGATCCAGAAGTATCTCAAGAACAAAAAAGAAATATTCTTTTTACAATTAAAACTATGTTAAATAATACTCAACTTGCTGGTGTTGTATCTTCATTTATTCCATCTGTTATGTTAGAATATTCACCTACTACACCTAATAGAGATCTTGCAGCATTTATATTATTTAGAATTGTTAATTTAACATTACAAAATGAAGTAGTATTTATTAAAAATAATGGATTTGAAAGAATTTATAATATTATTGAATCAGAAGATCCAAATGATATTACAACTGGAGTAACTTTATTGGTTCGTATCTTTAGTGGAAAAGACCAAAAAACAATGAATATTTTTAATAAACATCTTCTTCAAACAAATTTACTTGAAAAACTTAGAAATTATCTTGACTCATTAAAAGGTGACTTATTACTTAGAGTACTTAAATTACTTCGTTTACTTATTAGAAATGAAGGAAATCTTCAAAGATTTTGTGAAGAAGGTATTATGTTATATTTAATGTCTTTAATTGAATTTCCATTTAAAGATGGTGTTGATGGTGAATGTGTTTCTGTTGCATTTAATATTATTCAATATGTATTTTATTCTCCAGAAACAAAGTCATTACCAAAAGAATATGGTTTTACTAATAAATTAATTCAAGGTATTCAACACCATAAAGAATTACAATCTTTTACTATTGATGTTATTCTTAATACTATGAATAATGTTCTTTATGATGAAGAAATGGTAAACCAATTACTCTTCTTCGACTGCATAAAAGTTTTAACTGAAAAAATTAATGAATTAACCCCAAAACAACAAACTCTTGCATTAAATATTTTAGCCCATTTACAAACATTCCAAAATACTTTAAATGTTTCTTCAAAGAAAGAACAAAAAACAGGAGAAGTTCAAGGAAATAATATGCAAAAAGTTCTTGAATCAATGCATTGTGTTAAAGAAGAACAAGCTAAACAAGAACAACCAATACAAGAAAGTAATATTTATAATAATGAAGTATCAACTAAAGAACCTATGAATGCTAGTGAAGGATCACTTAATATTTCATGTATTGGAGAAGAAAAGAAAGAAGATGATTCCTCTACTCCTAAAAAATCTACTTTTCAAGCAGGTAAAAAGCATGAAGGGTCAAGAGCACATACTTATCTTGGAGAACGTAAATCAATTAGAATTGATAAAAATAAGGCTGTTACTAAAGATATGTTAAATCTTCCTACATTCTCTCAAGTCGCAAATTCAAGTTCAAAAGTTACTGTTAATGATGCTCAAATGCTCGCTGAATTAAACTTAAAGAAAGAAAAGAGAAGATTAATTGTTCAAGAAATGTATACAACCGAAAAAACTTATGTTAATCAAATGGAAAAATTCGTCACTACTATCCTTCCTACTTTAATTCAATTAATGCCACCAGCTGAAGAAATGATTGGTAATTATAAAGATATTTATGAATTACATAAAGAGTTTTTAAAGAAATTAGAAGAACGATTTAATTCACAAAAAGGAGAAGCACTAATTATTGTATCAGATATATTTAGAGAATTATTTAATAATAAAGCACTTCAACCAGAATATCTTAAATATTTATCTCAATCAGAAGAGTCTTTAAAATATAATTATGCTGGGTATTCTTCTCAAATGAAAGCTCAAATTACAAAGTGGACTCAATCTTGTATTGTTTTACCTAACTTTTTAATTCTTCCTGTACAACGATTACCTCGTTATATTTTACTTCTTGAAACTTTACTTAAATCTACACCAGAAATAGTTCAAGATGAATATCATGCATTAAAAGAAGTTTATTTATTAGGAAAGAAAGTTACTACAGAAATCGATCAAGAAAAGAAGAAAATGGTAAAAGCACAAGCTTTATTAAATTATTCTCGTACTATTCAAAATTATTCTGCTCCAAATAATAGACAATTTTTAAGAGATAGTATTATTACAGTTAAAGCAAAATCTAAGCTTGTTGCTACTGTTATTTTAATGAGTGATATGTTATATGTTTGCACAAAGAAAAAACATATATTTATTCCAAAATATACTATTAGTCTTCTTAATGCAGGTATTACTTCAAATAATTCTGATCCATCATTAAGAACAATTACATTAACTTCTTCTCAACCAAAAGAACCAACTCTTACTTTATTCTTCCCTGTTGATGTTGATTTTGATGGTTGGTTACTTGATTTAAAAATGTGCATCAAAGAATAAAAAATATAATTGAGTTGATTTAAAAAACCTTTTTTATATTCATTTTAAAAATCAATCAAAATTAGTTTATTTCTTTGCTTTCATTTCTTTTTCAAATCTTTTATGTTTATCTTTCAATAATTGTTTCATTCCCCGTGTTGCTACAAATTCTGGATTTGTTGGATCAATGTCAAAGTCATGTGAATCAAGTACTTTCTTAAATCTATCATCTTCAACATCAATTTTAAAGTCTTTATCCATTTTTTCTTTTTTACTTTTCTTTTTACCTTCTTTTCTTCTTTCTTTACGTGTTTTCTTTTCTTTATCTTCTTCATCTTCACCTAATGTTCTCTTCAATTTCTTTTCACGATTTTCATTAATATCATCCATCATTAATAATTCTAATTCTTCTTTCTTTTTTTCTTCTTCTTTTTTATCTTTTTTCTTTGTTTTCTTTTCAGTCGATGCAACTTCATCAGTTGTATATGTCATAACCATATCTCCTTCTTTCATTTCATCTTCTCCCACTTCATCCTCTCCAAGCAAAATAGCATATTTCTGTCTAATCTTGTCTGACTCTTCTTTTGGATGTTCTTCATCTTCATAATCACTTGAATGTTCCATAAATTCTTTGTAAGCTTCTTCATTTTTAACTAAATCTTCCTCTTCCATTTCCATCCAATTCTTTTTTAATGCACTATTTCTTTTTTGTTCATTAGTATCCCATGTTAATTTTATTTTATTACTCTTTGCCCTACCATCTCTACTTATAACTTTTTCATAAGTAGTACATACATCAACAGCTTTGTATGGAAATTCAGTGTCATCAGGAACAAACCTTAAATCTAATGTTTGTTCACAAAACTCTAACTCCTCTCCATCAACTGCATTATAAACTTCATTAGCTGTTTCAATAGAGTCAAATACTGCAACTGCAAAATAATATTTTAATTTATCTTGTTCATATTGATATATTTTTTCTGGATCAAGTAAATCAACTGGAACAACTTCAGCTTTTTGAGCTGTTTTAATTTCTTTTGTAACAGGTTTTAATCCAAGGTCTTCATCGTTATCTTCTTCTTCTATTGCCTCTTCTTCTTTTTCATCAACAACTAGTTCAGGATTTTCTTCTTCTAATTTATCATCAGAAACAACTGTAAATGTTGGAATCCAATTTGGATCAGTTAACTTTTTGTCTTCAATAATTTCAACAGTATCTTCAACACCTTGTTTCCAAAGATATTTAGGCATTCCTTCAACTTCTTCTTGTTTCATTCTTTCAGCACCAAATTGACTTGGATAAATAGAAACACTTTCTAACTTTCCTCCATTTGGAACACATACACTTAAAAGTGCAAATAAATCTCTTGCAGAAGTATTTTCCCAATCACAATTAACAATAGCAATTCTTTTGGTAGCATCACCACATGGAATTTGTTCTTGTTCTTCAAATTCTTTCTGTACACCTTCTTCAAGTTGGATATTTGCCTCTTCATCACTTTGTTGATTTTCTTCTTCTTCTACAAGCTTTTCAAGTGTTTTTACATCTAAATTATCATCCTCAATATCAAATTCTTTTTTAATAGCTTTTAAATGATCTTCTTGTTCAACATTTCTTCCATACTTATCAATCTGTGCATCTTCATGAAAAAGATTACTTTTTAATGCTTTTTTAAATCGAGGGTCTAATTTTGTTTTCTTTCCTTTAGAAAAATTTTTAAAACGAGCATCTTTCTTAAAACGAGAGTCAGGTTTCTTTTCTGATTGTCCCTTCTTTCCACTACCTTTTCCAGACATTTATTTGAAATGAAAAGAAAGATTTTTTTCTAAACCCTTATTTTTTAAATAACAAAAAAAAAACAATAACACAAAAAATCAATAACAAAATATAAATATATTTGATTAAAAAAGTCATATTTTTTCAGTTCCAAATTTCTAGAGGATGAGAATAATTGACGAATGAGTAAAGAGAAAAGAAAACAAACATGGAAGTCAAGTGTCAAATTAGTTGAAATAGTAACATATGCCCCACTGTTGGTTATAGTACCACAATAATAAGGAGCTGAAAACACAGTAACACAAACACCATCTAAAACAGTAAACCCATCAACCATTTCATGTGCTCTAATAAGTAATTGAAGATTATTTTCATTAAGGAATTCATTTAACACATCCATACCAAAAGCACATCCTGTTCCACGATTATTTGAACTAAATCCATTGTCTTCTAAAGAAGGATCTGCCCAGACAAGATCACAAATTAAACCTTCTTCTGGAATATCTACAGGTCTTGTAATACGTTTAATTTGATCAAGTTTTTTTAATAAAGGAGAAAGACCACCATGAATACATAATATTTTATCATTAATAAGAGCTGCAAAAGGATATACATTAAATGTTGATATAAAAGCATTCCAAATGTATAAATTACCATATTTTCTTAAACATTCATCATAAAATCCATAAAATCTATTTAAACAAGCAGTTTCATGATTACCTCGAATAAGATAAATGTGTTCTGGGTATTTAATTTTTAAAGCATAAAGAAGACAAAGAACTTCTACTCCATTTTTTCCTCTGTCAACATAATCTCCAAGAAATAAATATTTTTTATCTGGTGGAATACCATTTTGATAGAAAATTCTTAGTAAATCAAAGAATTGACCATGAATATCCCCAACTATTGTTAAAGGTGCATCTAATGCTAAAAATACTGGTTGACTCATAAATACTGTTCTGATAGTTGAACATAAATAACTATTTAAAAATGAATATAAATTGATTCTTAATTTCAAATTAAGAATAATATCAAACTATATTGTATCTGCTGGTATTAATAATGGTTGTTTTTCTGATTTCATTAATTCAACTATTAAACAATCAATATTTGGGATAAATGAGGTAATTGGAACAATTAACTTTCCACGTTGTGACATCCTGTAAAATGGTTTGAAATGATTTAATTTGAATGGGATTAAGTTTTGTCTCTAAATGAAAATAACAAATTTATCCTTTTTTGTTTTTATTTTTTATATGTTAAATTCTATTTTAACAGTCATTTATTTCATCATTTGTTGTTCTTTATTCTATTTATTACTGTCTACTAATTTTACACTTTTAAATCTTTTTAATTTAATAAACTTCTACACATTTTTCTTCTAGTGTTAGTTCTAATATTGGAGAATTTTGTTTGTTGAAATACATGTCTTCTAAATACTTTTTGATTAGTTGTTCTAAAATTAGTTTGTATATTTTTAAATTCAGCCACGTTTGATTTATTATCGAAGAAACTATTTCTTCATTAGATTAAGCTAAAAGCCTTATTTTAAGAAAAATAAAATTTACATACAAATCACAAGTAACGGTTGTTTTCATAACACTTTTATTCTTTAATTTATACAATAACAGTATTTCTTTATAATAATCTTTCCCAATAATATTATTATTGTTATTTCTTTGATATAAGAAGTTATGAATTATTAAATTTTTCCGAGTTAAATATCTTTTAATGACTATACAATAAGATTATATATATTCTGTTAATAATAGGCAATCACTTGGCTGTTATTAGTGTAATTAATTTGATACATTTATTGTTTTAATAAAATAGACACTATTGAGATCCAAGTTTTAGTAAACACTTCTACGTTCTTAGTTTGTATTATTGTTTTGAAAAGTTATTTTAATGATTTGGTTCTTGATTTTGTCTTTTTTATTTATTGCATCAAAACAATTGATTTTTTTATTGTTCTTTTTGAATCATCTATTTTTATTGGTTTGTGTATTGTTTTACACTTATACCATTTTGTATTTTACTATATAATATTTTTCTGTTTTCTTAACTTGAATTATTCATTTCTTGTTTTTTAGAATCTTAAGACTCGGTTTTTTGTTAGTTTAATTACTTTTTGAGATACTACTCTTTTTCATGAATTTCTTTTTTGTAGTACAACACTTGACAATATTAGTTTCATTTCAATGTGTTGTTGGTATTTTTCTTTTATATGATTTATTTTTAGATTCTTTAATAGCACAAGACAAATAGTTGTTAATTTAATAAGATAAAAAAACAAGCAAGCATCCTTTGTCAAATTAAATTTGTTAATATTTTTTTGTTTCATAGTTTAGTAGAATTTGAAAAAGATAGTGTATTCATTTCTTTTTATTATGAACAAAAAAATATTTCAAATAATAAAGTGATAATATTATGTTCACATGTGAATTATAATACAAATCCAATGAATTTCGTACACAAAAAGACTTTTTTATTTGTTTTAAAAAGGTAATTATTATGCTTCTTCATATTACCTTAGTAAAGGATATTAAATAGTAGAGAGTTAAAAGAAATATATATATATATAAATTTGTGAATTAAATAAATGAAATTATAATACTTAAAAGAGACTAGAATAAATTATATTTTTATTAATTAGAAGCAGGAATTGAATTTATTTATAATTTTAAAAATATTAAAAATATTTCAAAAAGACAAATTTAGAAGGTTGTTTTCATTCTTTTATTCTTGGAAGGTACGTTACAAGTAATGTTAAAAATTAAATACATCATTTTGATTTAATTCTTTAGGTATTAAAACTTAATTTAATGTTTAGGGTTTATTATAATATTTTGTCAAATCATTTTATTCTGTTTGAGTATGGATGGATGTATTAACAAACATGAAAATACTCTTATGTATGTTCTTTAATTTTAACAAACCTGTTCTAAGAAAATAATAGGTTGTTTCCTTACTAAATTATTTTATTTTTTTACACTTGTTCTATGATAAGAATTTTATTCAGTTGAATGTATAATTATGAATAATAATTGCTGGTATTTGTGTTATATAATTGTATATTTATTGTTATATAACTTCTATTAAAAACAATTATTTGTTTCTAATTAAATTTAAAACTTGTAAAATAGTTATAGTATTAGTAGGAAAATAAATTATTTATACTAAATTATCTTTTATTAATTTAAAGTCTGACACTACAATATTATTTCAAAAGCAATTTTTATAGTATCATTCTCTTCATTTAACTTTAATTTGTAAATTTGAATAGAATAGTATTAAAGTTCAGTGTATTTTAAAAGAAATTAATTCCTTATGAGTCGAAAACAGATAATTGTATAGAAACAGAACTTAGACTTTAAATGTGTATTAAAATTCATAAAAAGTTAATATTGTGTATATAATTTATGTATAAATTATAAGAAATAGTATAATACATTCTGATAAACAAAACAAGATTTGAAATGTTTTAAATTATAAAATTGTTTCAATGATAATAATAATAGTAATGCTCAATTAAAATAAATACATCTATTAGTCTATATTCTGAATAAAACCATTTTCTAGAATGAGGTCTACGTTATTATAATTAATTGGTTCAGAGGGTTGCTTTATGTCGTTGTAGTATATTGATAGATTTGTATTTGATATATTTATTATTTTTTCTTTAGTAAAACTATTATTAAACAAAATTACTTCATTACATTTAGCGTCAAATTTCTTTAAAGTCAAACTTCTTTCATTTTTTGTAAATAAAGAAAGAATATATTTATTTATTTCTTTACCAATAATATCAACACTTTCTTTATTTAATAATAACTCATTCCCAAGTCGTATATCAACAACTTTTATCATCTGAAGAGTCTTTTTTGAACTTTTAGTTGGTCTTGTAGAAACAAAGTATCCAAATGATTCTAAAAGTTTAATTAGATAATTAAATGTTAATGCAGCTCTATTTAAATCTTTTCTTCTTTTTAATGTTTTTTTACATGCACTTTGGTGTGCAGCTTGCAGCTCAATAGCAAGTTGCTCTTCACAAAATTTATCTATTGAATACTCAAAATCCACTTTTTCATCAAAATAAAAGAGTTGTTGAATATAAAAATACTGTATTGTTTTAAGTGCAGCACGTTCTGGTCTTCTAAATTCAAATGTAAATCCAATTGAATTCATTAAAGCAATTACTGCACTTTGTTGAATTGCTTCATATGATTTTGAATGTCTTTTAATTTCATTTAATTCTTCATTTGTTTTAATCGTCATTTAATACCAAAACTTTGCATTTGAAGTTCAATTAACCTACCCTTAAATATATATGTCATACTAGAAAATTAGTGTGTTTATTATGCTACGTCATTGCCTTTCAATGATAGGATTTAAATAATTTTAAGTCATAAAAACATTCATCTAAACTTAAGATTTTCCTCTGAGTGTCTCTTTGCTTATCGTTGGCAAGCATTATTTTATTTTTAAATTATTAACTTTTCCAATAAAGTTTTTATTATTAGAATATAGACTCGTTCTCTAGATTTATAGTTTTTTAGTTTCTTTATTTTTCAATGTTAATAGATTATTATCTAAATAATTATTAAAACCAACTTTATAATATAGGTTATGGATATATTCCTAAAAATAAATAACACGGAAAATTACTTCCTTACTAAGAAAAGATTTAATTATTATTAACAATATTTACTTAGTTTATTCTATAATACAACGTAAGTGATTAACATAAATCTTTTTAGCTTTCTATCAGGATTTTTAACCAACTGAACTAAATAATTAGTAAAGTTCAATAATAAAAGTAAAAATAGGATAATAGATACAAAAGAATTATTTTTATCTAAATATCATTTGTTTTTTTTTTTCTATAACTATTGCAATATCTTAGGACCAATTATGAATGATATTTAGATTAAATTATTCAAGTTTTAAATGATTATCACTCATGAATTAGAAATTAAATAATAAATAAATTTGAAAAGGAAATAAGAATAATAAAAAAGATAAGAAGAGTGAATTAAAAGGAAATAAAAAAAAATATGAATAAAATTCAAAAAAAAGTTTGGATAATCTTAAAAAAGGAAAAAATGAGTTGTTCAACATTTGAACAAATCTATCAACAAAAGGGTATTCAATGTTCATTTGCATTAAAAAGAAATATACCAAAAGAAGATATTGAAAAATGTTGGGATAAATTAATGAAAGAATATCCATATTGTTGTAATTATGAAGAAGAGATATACAGTGAAGATAATAAACCATTATACATATCAATTCAATCATATCCGATTCATTCAATTCAAGAAGCTTTAGATTATATCATTAGAGAAAATTCATTTGAAGTTGCAAAGACTCGATGTTTTGGAATGAAAAAAAGTTCATTATTAATATATAGTTATATCACTTTAAATTCAACACAATACACTATATTTGGAATGTATCAATGTCATTTAAAAACTGACTTTAAATCAATAGTTTTTTTAGTAGAATCATTTTTAAATTACAGTGTTCAAATAGAACATCAACATTATCCAATACAAACTGCTTATTCAAATCTTATTGAAGTAAATGGAATTCCAGATGATGAAAGAAAAGAAATGGCAGAATTATTTATTCAAAGAAATGTAATTCAATATGACTATAGTAAATTAAAAGATGAGTCTTTAATAACAAAAGATAAATTATTAGAAGCTCAAGAAGAAACTAATACAATTATTCCTAATTGTTTTATTTCTAAAACAATAAAATTAAATCAAGAAGAAACAACTAATTTTATTCAATGGTGTAATGATAATAATCTTTCAATACAAGCTACTCTTCTTGCAATACAATTAAAAACATATGACCATTTATTTAATAAACAAAATAAACAAGCTACAACTATTGCTTTTATGATTCCTTATGATATTAGAAAATTTTTACCTAAAATTCAAAAAGAGTCAATTGGTTGTTTTTATGAAAATATTTATCCATCATATCCTTATAATTTTCTTCAATTATCTATTAAAGAAATGGCAGAACAAATTACTCAATACATTAAAAATATTGATGAAATTAATCATCCATTTTTTGATAGATTTAGAGATGCAGTGTATTGTGGAAATACTAATTTATTAAAACTTCCATACACAACAACATTAACTAATATTAATTCATTTATAGTAATGGAAAGACTTCATCCATTAATTAAAAAAGATTTTATAGATTTTCATATATCAAATTGTAAAAGAATACAATGTAATAAAGAAATGAAAGAATTAATAGTGTATAGTTATTTTCTTTTTGATGGAACATGTAATATTTCATTATCTTATGAATATTCAATAATACCATCAATAATTTCAGAAGAAGTATTAAAAGAGATGTATTCAATAATAATTACACTTTAATTAATCAATCAATTAATACTAAATCATTATTTTCTATTTAAATCTGTTTTTTATTTAAACTTGAAATAATTTGACCAATCCTTTTTCTTTCTTCTTCTGCTTCTTTTTCATTAAAAACATTTTGATATTCTTTTAATGTACGTTTTGGTTGACTTGCTATTTTTCTAATATAATATAACATGTAACATCCACAATCAACCCAATTCTTTTGTTTAACTGTATTAATTTTATATTCTTTCATTATTTCTGATGCATCTATACATTCTTTATAATTTTTAAAATATTCTTCTTCAATAAATAAATTCATTTCTGTCTTTAATCTATCTTCCATAAATTCTGAATGAAGTGAATCTATTAAAATATAACATGGTGCTTCTACAAGACTTTGTTTTGTATCAACTTCATTTAAATCTGAAAATCCTGAAGTTTTATCAAAACAAATAATAATTAAAGAAAAGTGTGAATTTTGATGAAAAGGAAGAAAAATATAATTATATTCAAATATATTTTTTCCTTTTAACCATGACTGAAATTGTTTCCATTTTTCAAGTAATTCTTCTTTTTTAATATTATGATGTTCTAATTGATATTCTTGTAAACTAAAATATGACTGTAATTTATTAAGAAAAAATGGACTCATAAATAACATTTTTCCTTTATATGTTTGATCCATTTCTTTATCTTCAATATATTTCATATAAAAATCTATAATTCCATCATTAATCATTTCTAAACTATTTAATACATCTAAATCACTCATTTCTAATGTATAATCTTTTCCATCACTTTCATAAAAATATACTTCAGTATCTTTTGTTGAATTTCCATCATCTTCTAAAATAATTGGTTTTTCTTTTTCTATAAAATCATCTTTCTCTAAATCTATTGCAAGTTGTTCTTTTTTCTTTTTTATTGGTTCTATTTCATCATCTTTTTCTAAGTCAATTTCTTCTTCTATTTCTTTTTTTTCATCTTTTAAATTTTTTCTTTTAGCTATTGGTTGGAAGTCATTATTTCTTTCTTGCCTTTGAACTGTATGAATGTCTTGTTCTTCAAATATTTTAGTCCAAGCATCATTTATTTTATTTTTTCCTTTAATAGTTTCTAAATTTTCTATTTCTTGTTGAGAAGGTATTAAATTAGTATTATCTGAAGGTTGTAATGTATTTTCTATATCTTTTTGTTTCATGTCATTCATTTTTTTATATTCAACATATTTTTTAATATATCGTCCAATATTACTCCAAATTCTTGTTTGATCTTTAAAGGATTTTTTTTTGATATTAATGTTACCAACAAATGGTTGTTTTGCTTGAATAACTTCTAATATTTGTTTTAATGTTAGTGGTGGATTTAAATGAATAAGAAAAACAAATGTTTCTGTAAATTGTAATTCAAGAATAATAAAATTGTCAGGTTCAAGTAAGTTTTGATATGAAACACTTTTAAGCTCTCTTTTTTCAAATTTAAATGGCTTTCTTCCTTTTATATCAATTTTAATCTTATTAACTTGAAGAGAAAGATGAGTCGCGTTAATTAGTAAATTTTCTTTAAACCCAAGACATACATTTGTTTTTACACTAACAGTTTTATGTTTTATTGATCTTTTTGGAACAGTGTTTGGTGTGATAGGAAATGGCTTATTCATTAATTATACGTTTATAATAATCTCAGTTTTTTTTTCATTACTTATTATAATTTATAATTAAGAAATTATAACTTTTACTATATCTTCAAGTCATAAAAAAACAAATAAAATATTAATAATGGCATGCAACTTTTTTATTCACTATAATTCATAATATATGAACTACATGCAAAACAGAATAAACGGGCTTCAACAGTTTCTCCTGCTTCTGACCTTTTACTTAAGAAATCTTCAACTTCTTTTAATGGAACAACATGAACTGTAATATCTTCTGATGATCCAAGCTCTTGTTTTGGGTTTTGATTTTCTGGAGCATCACCATTAATTAACAATGAAACATATTGAACATAGGTATCACTTTCAGCTGGTGCAGCTGCAACTCTTTTACTAACTTTTAATACCTTTTCAGCAACATAACCTGTTTCTTCTTTTAATTCTCTTTTTGCTGAAAACTCAACAGTTTCATTTGGATCAATTAATCCAGCAGCAAGTTGCCATACCATAGTATTAACTGGTACTCTAAATTCTCTAATAAAAACTAATGAAGTTGGTTTCTTACTAATTGGATAATAAATTATAGGGACTAATTCTACAGCATCAACATCTAATCCTGATAATTTTTTTGATTTTCTGGAAATACACTCCCATTTACGAATTCCTTTTGGTGTGTTATATTCCAACAATTCAAATGACATAAATTTCCCATCGTGTAAGACATTATGTTTTGTAACATAAAATTGTTGCTGACCTTCTTCACTACTCATTTTTTTAATCTTTTTTTTTAGTATTTAGTTCTTCTCTTTTATGTTAAACGAAGTGACACGTCATTTTTATGTTATAAAACAAAAAATTAAAATATTAATTGTTGTAGATTTCTTTTCCGAAAAGAAAAGGCGTTTATTTAAATAAAGTTGTATAAACAGGAAATAAAAAACCATATTTGGAGGATTGTCATAAATATATTTTTTCTGTCTAAAACTTGTAAATCAGAAAAGAAACTATTTTTAATGGGTTGTGGAGGCTCAAAACCAAAACTTAATTTACCTGATTTATCACTACAGCGTAACCCAGATTGGAAGTACAACTCATCTATTAAAGTTGAAGGAAATGTAATTCAACAGTTTAAAGACCATGGCTGTACATCGTGTTGTATTGGTAAAGTTCCTATTACTCAAATCAAAGTAAAGATTTTACCAAGTCAAGAATATTGTTTTGTTGGTCTTATGGAAAAAACAGCAGCAGACCAAGCAAGTGCAACGAGTAATGGAATAGTAAATTTAAAAGGAGTATATGGATGTGGAATGTCAGAAAATGATGTTGTTATGAATGGTCAAGTAACTCATTATAAGTTTGTTTTTATTTTTTAGACTATTTTTTTCTAATTAAAAATAATATTAAATAAAATAGAAGACCAGCATTACAATCAGGAGATTTTGTTGAATTTAAATATACTAAAGACCGTATTTTCTTTAAAATAGCAAAAGACTGGGATTTGTTGTATGTCGTTGGAGAAGGGAAAGAATTTGTTTTTGTGTGTGAGATCTGTCATCTTTATTCTCGAGTCGAAATTATTGAGTCTACAAAACTAGAATTAACTCAATCAGACCCACCAAACAATCAGCAATGAAATACTCATTGTCTATAAAAAAGTTAATTTATTTTTTATAATCCGAGTTTAGGTTTATTAAATTTATAATAAAATTAAAAATATCAATTAAAAAAGAAAAACCAACTTAAAAAACTGAGAAAGAGTAAAATGCAACAACAGAAAAGTAATGATGAACTTCTTAATGAGTCTGCCCAAAGAGTTGTTGAAGATATTTCCAAATTAATGAACAATGAACTAAACATGGCTAGACAAGATTTTAAATTTTATACTGCTGTTAATAATGAAGCAAGTAAAAAAGTAGAAAAAATATCAGATATTGTTGCCAGTAATTCTAAGAGTGTAGAATTAATTGAACAAAGCTGTTTGTTACTACGTAAATTAATAAACATTTAAATGAAAAATAGAGTTTTAATGGACATGTAGATAATGAATTAGAAGAATACAGAAAATATGTAGATCAATTGGAGACAACTTTAGACGGTATTGAATTAACTGTGGGACAATTAGACGAACAAACAAAAATGATTGAAGCATCGTTCCGAGCAATTGAAAGAAAATTAGCTCAACAAGCATTAAAAAAGTAATAATAACTTCATTTTCTAATATTGAAATAGGTTTCAATTATTAATAAATCAATGAAGTAATGAAGAGGTAATGACGAGTGTAATTAATAATTAGTTATCAATAACATTATTCATATATAACATTGTTTAACAAAACAATATGAAAGCAAACATTTATAAGTGTTTGTGAAATAAAATGGTCTTTTATCATATTTGTATCTGTTATTCTAACTCATTAATAAGTTTAATAAACTTATTATTCTTTTTGAGGTAATTCGTTTTAAACCACTCATCAATAAAACAATAAAAACACTTATTTTTCAACAAGAGTTTTATTTTAACAAGTTAACTTAAAGAATGAGTTTTAATAGTTATAACCAACTGACAAACCCAGTGGAGAGAGAATAAAATAAGGAATAACCATTCTTCAAAAAATAAATTTATTTTTAAATAATCTTCTAAATAATTATAAAAAACTAGAAAATTACTTGAAAAAACATTTAGTATAATATAGTTAGATTCTTCTTAATAAATAAGTCATACTCAAATAATTTATTACATTATTGGTAAATAAACTTTATTTTATTTTATTATGAATTAAATAATATTTAACCTGCATTATTTAACAACAATCGGTACTTATTTATTTATTCTTTTTTGTCTTATTTCTTCAAGATGGAACAATATTTTGTTTGTATAGA